AGCAGCCATGGTAAGGCCAGGGGCTAATGCAGAGATGGATCCCTTGTTAAATTTCTACCCTCCTCTAGGAGAAAAGGTGGAAAACTCAAACGTTCTGCAGGCCTTCTGTTTCCTTTTAAATCCGGGAGCTGTCTCCAGGATGCTTGTAGAACCCTTCTGTATTTAGGAGATGAATGGCACTCTTGAACCGGTACTCTGATGCTGTGATTTCTCTGGTGTGGGGGATTTTGTCCATTAATGCCATGTTCTTAAAAGACACAAGAGCATGAGTAACGTCCAGGTGAATGTGAACTTTCTTCAGGAGCACCTTGGTTTTGTATTTTGGCCACGGCTCCGCAATGCCAGAGGAGAAGCAGTGTGGAGGAAAAAGCTATTAAGGAATCTTTTACCCATGTGTCATAAATACTGTTTTGCTGCTTTCTAGGGTGTTTCAGACGTGCCGGAGCACATCCCAGCCATCAGACTTGAAGAAAATCCCCCAAACAGGTGACAACCCCAACTTGTTCTTTTTCTTAATCAGTGTATATCCCCAGGGAAACGTACGTTCTGTCACATGTGGGAAAAAATGAGGGTTCTGAGATAATTAAAGCCAAAATCCATCAAAGGAATAAGTCACCTGAAACCACTTTCTAGCAGGAAATCTAGCAGGATTGCTTAATTCGGCTTTCTTTAAATGCTGCAAGTCAGCACAGCTTTCCAGTGACTTCTTGGGTTGTCTGAATACCTGAACGAGGAGGAGGTGAAGTTCTACTTCCTCGTGAGGTGATAGATGAGGAGTAGTGTCCTCTGCCTTTTGGTCCTCAAGAATGCCACCTCAACTCCAGGTGCCCTGGCTTCACGGATAAACCCCCAGACTGAAAAATGTAGCTGGTAACACATCGGGCTCTAAATGTAGCCCTGGGTGGATTGATAACAATCCCTGTGTAAGATTGAAGCGTAGGAGGGCTTGCCTACAGTTTGAAGAGCCGGTTTGCAGAAAAGGGATTTCCCGTTAAGAAATGGCATATCCTGATTGTTCTTTCTTGCTCTCCCAAGACCTGAAGTGCGTCTTGGAAGCCCGGCAAGATTTGAGGAGCAGATGGAGATCGATCTCGAGACCTCGACCTCAGCTTCTTCCCAGCTAGAAGAGGCACGCACACGCCAGCTGAGTTCCGCGGGGAACGCGCCCTTATCTGCGGATGAAGATTTTGAGAAGCTACTATGGGAAATCTCAGGAGGCAGACTGGAAGCCGAAATTGACTTAGACCCAGGGAAGGACGAGGATGACCTCCTCCTTGAACTCTCCGAGATGATTGACAGTTGAACCGCGTAGTCCTATGGTATATTTAAAAATTAAAAAATTAAACTGTTCTTCTTGTTGGTGTACTGGGTCTGGCTGGAATGTTAACTTTCCCGGCAGCAGCCCATACACTGCCGTACTCTGTACTTGTAGCTGGAACAACAGATTTATCACAGCAGTGTTGTGTCTATTGCTGAGCTGTGGTGGCACAGTATTGGGCCTTTCTCTAACCCTCCTAGGGGATGGGCAAAAAGTGAGGAGAGAAACATCGCTAGGGCAGCTGACCTAAACCAATCAAAGGGATATTCCATACCATGTGATGTCATACTCAGCAATAAAAGGTGGAAACAGGAAGAAGAGGGGAGGGGTGGGCTCTCGTTGAGAAGACGTCGGTCCTCCTCTTGAACACCGGCTGCGTGCGTTGAGGCCTTGCTTCAAGGACGTGGTCAATCAGCGCTCATTTTTGGGATGTAGAGAGTAATTTCTTTCCTCTGCACTTCCATATAGCCTTCATTTATTTTGTTTGTTTGTTTTCCTCCCTTCTTTTTATTTTCCCTTTTCCCCTCCCTTTTCCCCTTTCCCTTTTTATTTCCCCTTAGTTAAATTGTTTAGTTCATGGTAGTCTTTATTTAATTATTATTATTATTTCCCTTTAATTAATTTATCCTTATCTCAACCCGTGAGTTGTTCTTTGCTTTACTTCTCCCCCTCCTCATCTAAAGGAGGGGGAGTGAGAGAGCGGTTGTGGGGTTTAGCTGCCCAGCATGGTAAAACCACCACAGTTGGATACCCGTTCCACAGGGAACGCGCCCTTATCTGCGGATGAAGATTTTGAGAAGCTACTTTGGGAAATCTCAGGAGGCAGACTGGAAGCCGAAATCGACTTAGACCCAGGGAAGGACGAGGATGACCTCCTCCTTGAACTCTCCGAGATGATTGACAGTTGAACCGCGTAGTCCTATGGTATATTAAAAAAAAAAAAAAAAATTAAAACTGTTCTTCTTGTTGGATACCCCGAGGTGATCCTTTTTCTAACTGAGGCTTTGCAATGAGACTTAAAGCACAGTCCGAAGTGGTAGAAATTGGCAGGATCTGCACTCAGTTGTCCTAAATTTCCCTGCTGGTCAGAGTTAAGGTCTTGTGCATCCGTTCTGTAACTATAGGTGGCTACCTTCGATATCGAGAGGACAAAGCACTTCTTTTGGCACAGAAAGATCTCCATTGGCACGCCACGGTGGCTGCAAATCGATCTTCTGATGGAGCGATGCTCTGAAGGCTTAAAGGGAAAGCTTCTTCCTTCCTCCCCCCTTGGCACAACTCGATGTCGGGCACATTGTGAAGCTTCGGTGTTCTGATTTCTCGGACAGTTGATACCCAAATCCTGGAGTTACTATGTCGACTCTTGACTTTTACTTGTGTATGCCATTGTTTTGACTGTACCCATGTCAGATGATGAAGCTGTAGGGGTGGGAGGGAGCAGAATCGTTATTCCAGTGTGTTGTGGACCACAGTTGCTGCCAGGAGTGGGGGTGGGGGTCAGCCACCCAGCCTTACTTTCAGTTATCAGGGATGATCAACTGGTGAAAAGCAGCAGCTCTGCCATGCGGCTCCGCTACCCCCACTCCCTTCTCTTGTGCTGTACCAAAGTTCCCCCAGGCTTTGGTTGGTGCTTTTTGTTGGTGTGAGGAATCCGGGGCGAGCAGTTGGGACTCTGCCGCAGTCACGGGGTCGATGAAGGGTTGTTTAAGTGCCTCTTGGTTTTAAAAGTTGCTCCCCTGAGCTGCTGGCTCTGCTGCCTGCTACAGCAAATGTTCGGGTGCCATCAGCATCGCGCTTGGGCGTGGGCACTGACCCTGCGGAGGACAGAGCTGAGATTCGGGTGTATTGTGTACCCTGCCACCAGCCATCGATTTTTTTACCCCTAGCAGATCAATTTTGAATTATTTTCCGAACTTTTCGCGGCACGGTAGGCTCTTCCCGCTATGATTTGTGAAGCTGTGGGGGCCCTCAGGCATTTGCTGCTGGCAGAGGAAAAGCGCTTGTTGAATTTGTTGTAAATACTTAATGTTGGGACAAAACCACGCGTCTCTGTGTTGAGGGATGGGGATCAAGAAGCAACCCCACTGCTATGCCAGAGTCCCTATAGGCAGTGTGGGTTTTCTCTCTATGCAAGCCTCATTATTCAGAGGCAGAGTATGGCTTCGTCCATTCAAGGTCCAGAATCAGTTGTCAAATGCTAGGCAAAGCCAGTGGCTCCTGGGCTATGTGACAAACTAACCCTAGAGCAAAACTCCTCCTTGTCCTCTTACCTGGGGCCCTTTCTGCGATGCCTTTAGGGTGAGTCAAGGCTATGATCTCCACCTTCTGGGGATGGTGTTTGAGCTATGTCCTACCTCAGTGCTGAGACTCTTTTGCCTCTGTAGAGGCCCTTTGCCATGACACGAGTGACGATGAGAAATAAAATCAACTAGCCTCTGAAACGTTCTTGTTCCCAAGCACAGTTTTTTCACTGGCTTGCTTTAACTCCTAGTTTTTGGCCAAGAAGCTATTGTTTCTCTGTGCCTTTAATAAGAGGCTTTCTCTGGAGCCAAGTCAGGATGGCAAGATTGAGCTGGGCAAGGCTATCGAGGAGGAAATTCAATCTTCCCAGCTGGGTGTCTGACCCTTGGAGCCCGGGCCAACTGATCTGAAGCGGCTGTAAAAGCTTTATTTCGCAGCATCGCTGTCTTCCCTGCTCGCATTCTAGGCACGGTGTTTCTGCTGACAGCATCTTCCACCTCCTCAGCAGAAGCTGCTTCTTTCTTTAAAGGTAGTACAGGCTGGACGCAAAGAAATCAACTGTTAGCGGTGCTTTTAGCTATTTAAATGGGGAGAAAACCAGCCAATGTTTATTTCTTTGTCCAGGGCAGCCACGAATGCTTGCGTGACGTGGGCTCCTCTCCCACGTCCTTAATTGCCAAGCCGGTAGCGGCTCTGGTGACGTGTCCCGTGGGTGTCTGTGCAGTGACGGGGCTGCCTCACCCCTGTGTACCCCAGGACAGACATTTGGGGGGCTCTTTGCTGCTACCACAGGGCGCAACCTGCGGGTCCTGGGGCAGGCAGGATGAGTGCTGCTGGGCCCGGAGGGTAGGCCTGGCCTGAGAGGAGACAGTAAAGGAGGCAGGTTTGGGGCTTAAAGCAGGCTTGTCCTGCCCCAGCCTTCTCCGGAACCTGTGTGCCTGGCTCTGGAAAGCCGTGACAAGACATCAAATGACTCGCAGCTTGCCAAGAGAGCTGCGGTGCTGGAGGAATGGCCGCCTCAAGGGGCTGAGGCCAGGCACCATCACGGGCAGGACTCGAGAGACGAGGCACGATCTTGGCACAGACACAGAAGGGAAGGGGAAGCACTGCTCTGCTGGCCCTGAGCGGTGCAGCCCCAGGAGAAAAAAAAAATCTGTGTTTCCTTCCGCTGATGTCCACGCTGAAGGTGCAGAAGGGTTCCGTGCTGTTGCTTGGGTCAGCCTTGTTGCCAGGTTGGGAATGTTTAGCCTCCCGGTGCTTCGGTGCTGTTGGGCTGCACTCAGAGTGTGAGCTCTGGGCGTTATTTCTCAACTACTGCGTTATTGGAGCGTACGGAGCCGAGATATTCTGCGGATAGGTGATTTAAGCCGCGTCAGAACCACCGCTGTGGCGTGTGCCAGCGTCGGACGCCCATTCGACTGCTCGGGCGGAGCAGGTGAATTGAATTTGGTGCTGGGTGGCGAGGTGGTGTTGGGGGAAGAGCTAGGCTAAGGAGAGCTTCCTCTTGCTCTGCCCCTTCCCATCTCAAATGGCCGCTTCCTGGGGAGATGGGTTCGTTGGGAGGCTAACTACAACGTTACAGTGAGGACGAGGAATCCTCTTTAGTCCCGTAGGTATTTGCTGCCAGGCCGCAGCGTTGATTTCAGAAATTGTATTTAAAAAAGGAAAAAGAAAGGAAATCCGTATTCTTTAACATACTCTCTTTTCTCGGAGAGTAGATGGAGGAGCTTCAGCAGTGCCCTTCCTCCCGAAAGGCTTCCCAGTGTCTGCTCAGACACTGAGGAGGAAAATAGAGGAGAGCCACCCGATATAAATAAAGGCAAGAAGGGGTTATGGATTAAGGGAAAACCACTACTTCAAAAATTGGTGCTCTCTACAAACCGGTTAAGGGTTTGGGACCTGCAGGTGCTGCCTCCACCTGTGTGCGTTGCAGTCGTGCCTGTTGCCACTGAGCAAAACAGGGAGAGCTGCTTTGTCGAACGCGGCGTGTTAAAGCACGTGCCACTGCCTGGAAGAAAAGCACGGACTTCCCTCGTGTGGGACTTCTTCCCTAGCCATGTGTGGTTTACCTGATGGTTTCCCATAAGCTGTGAATGTTTAAAAGAAAAAAACCAACAAAACCCAAGACCAACGTTGAGAGTGGTGAGGCAGATCCTCACCTGGGGACTCAGAATCAGCGGTGACATCACCATGCGAAGCATTGTGTGCGCTTCGGGTCGGGGCTGCTGCGAGCCTCGCAGCGGGGAGGGAGAGCGGATGCGGGGTGCCTCTGTGTCAGCCCTCTGCCCTGGTGGCTTCGTGAGCACTGAGAGTTTGACTCCTGTGTTGCCAGCTTTCGCTTCCGCACCTGCGGTGTGGCAGAGCCAGCGAGCTGCTTCCTCAGCTGGAGGAGGAAGAGGAGTGACCTCAACGTTGCCGAGGTAAAGCACAATTCTTGAAAAGATTTGGCAAAGATGTGGGTTGGAGCAGCGCGGCTGCTGCAGCTGCAGCAGATCCTGGAGCATTGGAGAAGACAGAGAGGGGTTTCTTGGTGAAAAGAATGCTGTTAAAAGTGTTTTCATGCCAGAAATGAGGATAAACGCCTCTGTTGTTTGACATCCTCTATTGACCTGGCACATTGGCATTACAGCGTACCTGGCACGCTGTTTGTATTAAAAAAACAGGTATTTTAGTCAGGGCAGGCCAGAAACCTGCCTTGGCACTTGCACATGGCAGCAATGCTTACAGACCCTGCATCCTGGCTGCCAGGCCAGGATCTAAATCCGACGGTGCTGTTGGTAAACTGAAGCTCAGGAAGCGCTTCTGGGTTTTTCTGTACTTCCATGTGAATTTTGACCCTGTGAAGATGGTGTCTTAAGCTATTTTCGGAACAACAAATAGGTTGAAAAGCAGTTTCAGTTTAACATCTGCATGCTTGGGTGTTATTAACAGAGCTTTGTATACTGAGCTGGTGCTTGGTAGGAGAAAAAACATAAACCTTACCTGGGAAACTTGGACCCCCTCAGCTACATGCTGCTATGAGGAAACTCAGATGTAAGAACACACTTAAATAACACATCAGCAGAGCTGTTGTGCTCCTGACCACCAAAGGCACCTTTTTCCAACACCGTCGTACTGGAAGTTGATGCAGCTGGTTCCATCCGTAACGTGGGACTGTAGAGTGCTGTAACAGAAATATTTTTTCACAGCTTTGGAGAAAGTGAAGCAGAGAAAACCACACATAACCACTGATAGCTGGACCCCAAACTGCCACAGACTGACAGTGATGCCCACTGGATATCTCCTGAGACCCTGCTGCCTTCTGCCTGCTCCAGCAGAAGTCCCGTTTGAATTAGCCAGCAGGTCCCTCTGAGTGGCTTTGCTAAAACTCCCGCCGTAGGAAGTATCCTACGGGAGCCAAGTTGCTAAACTGATGGGTGGGTTTCCCTTAACCCCCTCACCCCTGACTTCCCAGCTCCTGACGACACTGCCAACGTGTGCAGTGTCACCGTGTGCCAACTAGGTGCCAGCTGCCATGGTTTGTATATTGTAAAAGGAGTGATTTGGGACTCGTGAGCACTGAGAACAGGTTAGCAATTGCTTAAGAGCTTTACTTGTGTCGCTCTGGGGCAGGGAGATGGGTGAAACATCTTAGGCTTGAAAGTGATTCCCTGCAGAGTGACGTGCTCAGATCTGCACAACAGATCTGTCGTTCTGGTCACCTTATTAGATCCCTGCTTGAGAGGGTGCTTGCAAGAATCGATTCCTCTTCACCTTGATGTGTCAAGCTAAAGAGAAATCCGTGCCGAAGCACTGTCTGATCAGACGAGTGCCTCGGTTCAGGATTGTTCTTTGACAGCTGCAGAAACACCAGGACAGTCGGCGCCTTCAGGAACAGATTAATTTGATCTTGAGGCTGTCATAAAACAGGTCCCTGAAGTTTGAAGACTCTTCCAATAGTTTGGGCCAGCAAGGAGCAGCTGTAGCTGGCGGCTGCGGTAACTCGGGGCTCAGAGTCTCAGAGAGCGTGGTGAAAGGTGACCCCCAGCTGGCTGCTGGAGGAAGCTGAGGCAGCGTTCAGCTCTAACCTTTGCCTTCTTGGCTGGCATCTTTGCACTCCTGCTGTCAGTGGGTGTTGAGTGTCCTTCCCCCCAGCCTCAGAACGTGCCCTCAGATGTAGGCAGCGTTTAGCAGCTAGAATTCACTCCAATATAAAGAGTACAAATCATGCGTTTTCTGCTTTTGCTTTGGAACTCTTAGCTTGAGGTTTTCCTGCAGGCCATGAGGTTTCTTGCAGCAGCAGGGAGGAGTTCTGTTAGCAAGAGGCTGTTCTGTGCTTCGACTGTGGGAAGATGAATGGTTCCCTGTGCACCGTTAACTAGAACTTGACACCTAGCACACCTAGCTGTTGGTGTGTATTTCCAGAATTTGGGAAAAAGGCTTTGCTCTCTTTGAGAGACTGATAACTTGATTTGATCAACTGAAGAAAGCTGGAAAACTGTTCGTTCCTCATTATTTTTCGCTTGTTACTTTCTTTAGGGTTACTTTTAAAAAGAAGATTTCCCTGCTCACAAGCCAGTAGAAGACTTTCAGCCCAAGCAAGGGTGAAGACAGCTCTCTCCAAGAGCAGAGGAAGTCCCTGTGGAGAGAAGCCGAGCTTGTTAGCAGAACTCGTCGGCATGTCTAAACAAGGAGACGATTGCTACTTCTATTTCTATTCTACCTGTACCAAGGTATGGCTGGCTTTCCTTTGCTTTGCTTTGTTTCCCCATTTTTTTCAGGAAGGAGTAGATTAGGAGGAGGAAGCACACTGGTCTGTGGTTAACTTGAGAACCAGAGAGATTCTGAATTCAGTTGTAGCAACATTAGGCAGCAGCATGGCCATTTTTGAGGCTGTACTCTCTTTTCCTTGTTGGTTTCCTTTTGGTTCCAGGGAGACAAATGTGCCTACCGCCACTGCGAAGCTGCTCTGGGCAATGAGACGGTCTGCAAGCTGTGGCAGGAGGGTCGTTGTTTCAGGAATGTCTGCCGATTCAGACACATGGAAATTGACGTGAGTGCCTAAGGATGTGTTCTCAAAATAAATCAACAAAAGCCTTTTTCAGTGCCCTAGGTGGACTGATTGTGCTTTTGCAGGATAGATTCATTTGCTTCCAAATCCTACTGGTTTCTGTTACCAAGAGAGGGGGTGGGAGGAAGCAGAGGGAAATAAAATCAATGCCTTAGGTATGTCTTAGCAAGATATATCTATTTTTTTATTATTAGATGCTGACAGTTTTCTCAACGGATGCAGAATAGCTGTTAAATAGACTGCTAAAACCTGCTGGAGCAGGGGGGTAATAAACAGGCTGTTCTATCCTCATGGGAGCAGGCTTGATAAGGAACTCTCAGGTCTCTTCTGACCCACAGTCCTTCAGCTAACGCTGTTCTAGCTGCCTGGGGTAGGAAGTGGGGAAAGTTAAAGGTGCAGAAGAACTAAGTCTCCAAGAAGTAGTTCTAGACAGGGTTAACCTAGGCAATTTCGGATGTTCTTTTTCCCTCTGAATAATCCTAGTATAATCCTAGGTGTATTAGTTTAACCCACCCTCAACTGATGTCTGCGAGTGCCTGTCTTCTCAAACTGAATGATGACAAATCTAAATGTGCATAGTGGTTGCAGCTTATGCAAACTTTGTGAATATGCCCAGAAATACTCCACTTAACTGAGAACCTGACCTTTGGAATGATGTTTCAGCACTGTGTTGTGACAGCTGTCATGATCTGGAGCTGTGCATCTCTTTGCAAGCCTCAGGTGCATGTTATCACGAGCTTTTCTTTCTTTCTGTCTTCAGAAAAAGCGCAGTGAGATTCCTTGCTACTGGGAGAACCAGCCGGGAGGCTGTCAGAAAGCCAACTGTGCTTTTCATCATGCAAAGGGACGTTACATCGATGGGCAATTCTTCCCACCAAGCAAGAGTGAGTTTAGGTCCTTTTTCTTTAAGCGCTGAAGACTTAATGTTGAGTATTACTTAGTGGGTGCCAATCCTGTAGGGGGCATCAGGTAACTGTTCATTTGTGAGTGCAGGAAAAGGTCTGCAGTCATAGGTGGTCAGTTAAACCGAGTGTACTGCTGGTGTTTGTTTTCTGCTTTCGTGCTCGGCTTCTCTTTGCTTTGTGTGATGTTTGCCTTGCAGTTTGCTTCCTGTTGTTTCATCTTTTGCTGGGTGGTAGGGAGATGTGTTGTTGTTCGAAGGGAAGTCATTGTTCCTGGTGTAAACAGTGATGGGATGGGCAAAAGGAGATGCTGAATTCGTTGTCTGTGCGGGTTATCTGCCTTTCCTACCATCTCTTTGCATTGTGGTCAAAGTTTTAAACTGCCATATTACCGATGATCCTCCTCTTCCTCTAGCTACACTGCCAAGTCCGCCTGAGTCCGCGGACGATGATTTGAAAGTGGCTCAGATGTCACTGCAGCAAAAGAAACTTTCTGTCCAGTCAAATCCCTCTCCACAGCTAAGGGGGTGATGAAAGTGGAAAACTCTGAAAATGTCCCAAGCCCTACACACCCTCCAGTTGTAATCAATGCTGCAGATGATGATGAAGATGATGATGGTGAGCATGTGTTGGTTCTTGGAAGGAATTTGTGCTGTAAATGATTGTGTTAAATCTTTGGTTCTTGAAGGAATCTGTGCTGTACATGAATGTCTAAATCACAGATGACCCGAGGTCTGACTAGCGATAGGGCAGGCAGTCTGGCCAGGTCACTGGTGGCTTTGTCTGGCAGTCAGTGGACAGAACCTGAAACGTTGGAGGAAAGCTTAGAACCACTCCTGCTTTAGCTGGTCTGTTGTGTAAAGTTCTGTGTGAAACTAGGAAGGAAATTTCTTATTCCTGTCTGAAGAGCAACGTGTTGTGTAGTAGTTAAAGCTGCAGAGAGAATCTAGAGTCCTAGATGTTTTGTCCTAGTGTATTCTACTTAGGAGTTCAATAGGGGGGTAACTGAAAAACAGAAGAGTAACGAGAAGAAAGAGCTGTAGAAGACAGTGCTATATAAGAAGCAATTTCTGAAGCATTAAAGAGGCTGACAGTGGCAGGTGTGGACACAGTATGACAGGAGTTTGTGTATAAATTGTTTAGAGCCGTGCAAATGCCTTTTAAAGGGAAAAAAGTACTTTTACTCGTAGACATTCACCTTAGAAAGGACTATTGCTCAGCATTTGTACCTAATAATATTCTGCTTGCTTATGCAGCTTTGTTCTGCACAAAGTATAGCTGTCAAGCAGACTCAGATTCACGCTCTACTATCTCAGCTGGAATTTGGAGGAAGCACTGAGACTCTTAAGATTTTTTTTCTATGTTAATTACAGTTAAAATATGAGTTTATGTGGTTTAGCTGTCAAAACAGTGTCTGACTGGGTTTTTTGGGACATGGGCTAACAGGATAATATTTCTGTTGGCTACTGGTTTCTGTGAAATAGAAAAAAAATTCCCTTTTGTTTTAGGGGAGGAACCTGTGGTTCGACTAGATCTTGCTGATAGACAAGGAAAACGGAAAGCCTCCGCGGGTAAGAACATATATAGAAGGTGCTGCCTTCTATATATGACTGCATTAAAGAGTATTTTTGAGGTATGAAAGGAAAATACATTGCAGTGGAGATCTGTGTTGACTGCAGAAATGGAAAAAAAAAAATAAAAAAAATCATTTAGCAGCTGAAAGGCAATTCTATGAAAATATGCTTGAAAAATAGAAGCTTATTGTTGACTGTTCTCAAACCTTCCTGCAAAGAAAAGTTCTTACAATATTCCTTGTTTTCTCTGAAGATGATGTAAGCACCGTTCCAGTGAAGCGCAGCCTTGCTGAAAGGCTGGGGAAGAAGGTAGAGGCTCCGGGAAATGCTGACAAAGCACCCAAGAGAGATCCAGGTACTGAACGGGCATCTGGAATGGATTCCTGGGTTTTGTATTTAGTCTTTCTGTTTGTCCTTTTCCAGTGATGTTTCTTTTTGCATGTTGGCTGAGGTCGTAATCACTGGGATTCAAAGTTACCTTTCCTGTCTTGTTTTGAACTGTGAACCTGAAGTTGACATTCTGCAGCCTCCCTAATTCGTTCTGTTTCTGTTTTGCAGTTCAAGTTGCCAAGTCTCTGAAGGACAGGCTGGGATTACCTCCTAAACAGACCAGCACTGAGAGAGGTAACAGCTAGATATTAAATATGCTTTCTCCTCCTTCCTTTCCATGAACTTGGACTGCTTTCATCCATCCCTAAAAACTAATGTAAACGAAAACAAAGAACTGATGCCTCTTGCTCGAGTGCTGAAGCTCTTCTGACAGCCACTATCAGAAATCTGGCTCTAGGTGTGTGTTTCTTTTCTACTTGTGCCTTGTCAAGGTTTTTAGCTGCTTCTGTGAACCGTTACGTACCATTAGAATAGAACCACTGCCAGGAGCAGGAATTTAAAATGCAGTCTGAAAAAGTAATAAAGTAAAGCAGCATTTCTGTGTAGCAGTTCTCTCTGGGTAGGGCTGGTCTTCAAAATACAAGTGGCTCAGAGGAGGAGGAGAATGTTGTTCTAAGGATATTGTTCTAAGATGCATTATTGGGAACACTCCAGATTAGTTTTCCTTAGTGCTCTGACAAATTTTGGAGACTTAAAATATTGCTGGACTCTCTTGAAATGTTGGTGCTTCTCCTCATTTCTTGATGATGACAGGGAAGGCTGCTAAGCCGATGGGAGAGATCCATGTGAAAACACTGGAGGAAATCCGTCGTGAGAAAGCTCTTCAGAGACGCGAAACTCAAGCCAAAGGCGAGGCTGAAGGGCATGGTAAAACTGAAGATTCCAGCGCAGGGGCAAGACCTGCTCGTGCAGGTCGCATCAAAACTTTCCCTGAAGCCTTGTCTGAAACAAAGAATAATCGCTTGGTAGAAGAGAAGAAAAAAGCAGGAGAATCCCCTAGCAAGAGCAAAATTCAGGGTGAGTCCAAGAAGCAGCTCGCTCTGTCCGGGCGAATGGATTGCACATTGTAGCCTTTCTCTCTCTCTCTCATGGGACACGAGGATGCACAGATGCACAAAGGAAACAAGTACCCAGCTTTCTTTATTTCTGCCGTTGACAAAACTTTTTTTTGTCTTTTTTTAAAGCACCTGAAAAAGAAGAAAAGAAGGCAGTGAAATTGAACCGGCCTTTTCCTACCCTTTCCTCTGTAGCTGATGTACGGGTGAGTCCTCTGTGAAGACACACATCCATTCGTACAATTTCTGATAATTCTGCCAAGTTTGGTTACTCACCGTGTGCCACCCTCTTGAGTGTGTTCTTACCCTTCAGCACCTGGTAGGAGCTGCAGTGCAGTCTAAATCCTATCGCCAGCAGCATTTCCAGACAACTCTGTAATCCCCAAACTTGGAATCAGTCTGTTTATACCACAGCAACAAAGAAACCCTGTTAGCACCAGCTGAAATCTACACGGTTAACGTGGAGGGAATTCTTTTTGTTCTTACTGACTTGAGCTGTCAGACGTGAAGGATTTAATACGGAAGGCCAGAGTTCTGTGTTGAAGGAAATCAGTCTGTCAGTGGATACTGTAGAGGGGAACTTGTATGACTTTCTGCTGCTTAAAAAGAATGTGATAAATAGATGTACAGCAGAACACCCTAGCTGTTTAAAGAAGCTTGCCACAGTGGATATTGCAGATATGCGAGACTGTGTCCATAGTAAAGCATGGCTCTTGTTACATGCAGAATTTTATGGAAAAAAAAAAACCACAAAAACAACAACAGTAACCTGAAGGATATTAATATGCTGTTCCACATCAAGACCATTTTGGAGGGATTGCTGATCAGATTTTCTTAACGAAATCTCCACGCACGGATATTTTTATTTTTTTTTGTCCTATTCATGCACTACTTTTCTTTCCTTCTAGCCCACGCAGCAGAGTGGAACTCGTAAATGTCCAGAGAAGAGCTTTGAAGAGAGCCGTTGGGAGAAGTGGCAACAGCGAGAACAACAAGAGAAGCTTCGGAAGGAGGAAGCTGCTGTCAAATCTACTGCTGGCTTCTTTAATACTGAACCAGCAGGGAAAGTGGCAGCTCAATTTCAGGGCCAGGAAGCTAAAAGTAAGTGTTGAAGGTTAAGAGTTCCTTAGGTTGTCTTCTGAAATACAGACAGAAGATGACGATTCTCATGCTGTAACTCTGGCTGGGTGCATTTTGCCACGCAATGCTACGAAGCGAAGTGTGTACTTTCTTTTTCTTAGTTTGTTTCTTTTCCTGCCAGCCAGATGTTAGGTAAGGAACGGGAGACTAGAAAATGACACGACAAATTTGGACGGTGTAGAACAACTTAACTGTGGGACATCACTGCAAGGGAGAGGAAGCTGGTACAACAGTTGCATACACTCTTGTCCTACTCTAACTGCTGCTTTTTCCTTTCCTAGAGGGAGCAGGACTTTAACTATAAAAGCTGTCTAGATTTGTGAACCTAGCTGGCACTTAGGATTGCTATGTGTCTGAGGTTTCCCTTGTCCTGGATTATTATTTACTGTAGCTATTGGGTTTCTTTGTTCCTTTGTATGGATTGTTGGTAGACAGAGTTTACTATGTGGAAAACATTCCTGAGAATCCAGGCAATGGCGGTGTAGAAGGACTGTGGAAATGATGAAGAGAACCTGGATTTTTCCTGAGGCGGAGCAAGACTGTATCAGTTCTCTCTTCCTTTTACTCTAGCCAACTTGATGACATCTGCGAAGCCTTCGGGTGGGAAAGTCACTTTCCCCAAGAAGAAGGCACTGAAACGTAAGGCACCTGGGAGTTATCCCTCTGCCGTAGCAGCTGTGGAACTACGGACTGCCTTTGCTGCTGACATGATGGGACCTCCAGCCAAAAAAGCAGCCATGGTAAGGCCAGGGGCTAATGCAGAGATGGATCCCTTGTTAAATTTCTACCCTCCTCTAGGAGAAAAGGTGGAAAACTCAAACGTTCTGCAGGCCTTCTGTTTCCTTTTAAATCCGGGAGCTGTCTCCAGGATGCTTGTAGAACCCTTCTGTATTTAGGAGATGAATGGCACTCTTGAACCGGTACTCTGATGCTGTGATTTCTCTGGTGTGGGGGATTTTGTCCATTAATGCCATGTTCTTAAAAGACACAAGAGCATGAGTAACGTCCAGGTGAATGTGAACTTTCTTCAGGAGCACCTTGGTTTTGTATTTTGGCCACGGCTCCGCAATGCCAGAGGAGAAGCAGTGTGGAGGAAAAAGCTATTAAGGAATCTTTTACCCATGTGTCATAAATACTGTTTTGCTGCTTTCTAGGGTGTTTCAGACGTGCCGGAGCACATCCCAGCCATCAGACTTGAAGAAAATCCCCCAAACAGGTGACAACCCCAACTTGTTCTTTTTCTTAATCAGTGTATATCCCCAGGGAAACGTACGTTCTGTCACATGTGGGAAAAAATGAGGGTTCTGAGATAATTAAAGCCAAAATCCATCAAAGGAATAAGTCACCTGAAACCACTTTCTAGCAGGAAATCTAGCAGGATTGCTTAATTCGGCTTTCTTTAAATGCTGCAAGTCAGCACAGCTTTCCAGTGACTTCTTGGGTTGTCTGAATACCTGAACGAGGAGGAGGTGAAGTTCTACTTCCTCGTGAGGTGATAGATGAGGAGTAGTGTCCTCTGCCTTTTGGTCCTCAAGAATGCCACCTCAACTCCAGGTGCCCTGGCTTCACGGATAAACCCCCAGACTGAAAAATGTAGCTGGTAACACATCGGGCTCTAAATGTAGCCCTGGGTGGATTGATAACAATCCCTGTGTAAGATTGAAGCGTAGGAGGGCTTGCCTACAGTTTGAAGAGCCGGTTTGCAGAAAAGGGATTTCCCGTTAAGAAATGGCATATCCTGATTGTTCTTTCTTGCTCTCCCAAGACCTGAAGTGCGTCTTGGAAGCCCGGCAAGATTTGAGGAGCAGATGGAGATCGATCTCGAGACCTCGACCTCAGCTTCTTCCCAGCTAGAAGAGGCACGCACACGCCAGCTGAGTTCCGCGGGGAACGCGCCCTTATCTGCGGATGAAGATTTTGAGAAGCTACTATGGGAAATCTCAGGAGGCAGACTGGAAGCCGAAATTGACTTAGACCCAGGGAAGGACGAGGATGACCTCCTCCTTGAACTCTCCGAGATGATTGACAGTTGAACCGCGTAGTCCTATGGTATATTTAAAAATTAAAAAATTAAACTGTTCTTCTTGTTGGTGTACTGGGTCTGGCTGGAATGTTAACTTTCCCGGCAGCAGCCCATACACTGCCGTACTCTGTACTTGTAGCTGGAACAACAGATTTATCACAGCAGTGTTGTGTCTATTGCTGAGCTGTGGTGGCACAGTATTGGGCCTTTCTCTAACCCTCCTAGGGGATGGGCAAAAAGTGAGGAGAGAAACATCGCTAGGGCAGCTGACCTAAACCAATCAAAGGGATATTCCATACCATGTGATGTCATACTCAGCAATAAAAGGTGGAAACAGGAAGAAGAGGGGAGGGGTGGGCTCTCGTTGAGAAGACGTCGGTCCTCCTCTTGAACACCGGCTGCGTGCGTTGAGGCCTTGCTTCAAGGACGTGGTCAATCAGCGCTCATTTTTGGGATGTAGAGAGTAATTTCTTTCCTCTGCACTTCCATATAGCCTTCATTTATTTTGTTTGTTTGTTTTCCTCCCTTCTTTTTATTTTCCCTTTTCCCCTCCCTTTTCCCCTTTCCCTTTTTATTTCCCCTTAGTTAAATTGTTTAGTTCATGGTAGTCTTTATTTAATTATTATTATTATTTCCCTTTAATTAATTTATCCTTATCTCAACCCGTGAGTTGTTCTTTGCTTTACTTCTCCCCCTCCTCATCTAAAGGAGGGGGAGTGAGAGAGCGGTTGTGGGGTTTAGCTGCCCAGCATGGTAAAACCACCACAGTTGGATACCCGTTCCACAGGGAACGCGCCCTTATCTGCGGATGAAGATTTTGAGAAGCTACTTTGGGAAATCTCAGGAGGCAGACTGGAAGCCGAAATTGACTTAGACCCAGGGAAGGACGAGGATGACCTCCTCCTTGAACTCTCCGAGATGATTGACAGTTGAACCGCGTAGTCCTATGGTATATTAAAAAAAAAAAATAAATTAAAACTGTTCTTCTTGTTGGATACCCCGAGGTGATCCTTTTTCTAACTGAGGCTTTGCAATGAGACTTAAAGCACAGTCCGAAGTGGTAGAAATTGGCAGGATCTGCACTCAGTTGTCCTAAATTTCCCTGCTGGTCAGAGTTAAGGTCTTGTGCATCCGTTCTGTAACTATAGGTGGCTACCTTCGATATCGAGAGGACAAAGCACTTCTTTTGGCACAGAAAGATCTCCATTGGCACGCCACGGTGGCTGCAAATCGATCTTCTGATGGAGCGATGCTCTGAAGGCTTAAAGGGAAAGCTTCTTCCTTCCTCCCCCCTTGGCACAACTCGATGTCGGGCACATTGTGAAGCTTCGGTGTTCTGATTTCTCGGACAGTTGATACCCAAATCCTGGAGTTACTATGTCGACTCTTGACTTTTACTTGTGTATGCCATTGTTTTGACTGTACCCATGTCAGATGATGAAGCTGTAGGGGTGGGAGGGAGCAGAATCGTTATTCCAGTGTGTTGTGGACCACAGTTGCTGCCAGGAGTGGGGGTGGGGGTCAGCCACCCAGCCTTACTTTCAGTTATCAGGGATGATCAACTGGTGAAAAGCAGCAGCTCTGCCATGCGGCTCCGCTACCCCCACTCCCTTCTCTTGTGCTGTACCAAAGTTCCCCCAGGCTTTGGTTGGTGCTTTTTGTTGGTGTGAGGAATCCGGGGCGAGCAGTCGGGACTCTGCCGCAGTCACGGGGTCAATGAAGGGTTGTTTAAGTGCCTCTTGGTTTTAAAAGTTGCTCCCCTGAGCTGCTGGCTCTGCTGCCTGCTACAGCAAATGTTCGGGTGCCATCAGCATCGCGCTTGGGCGTGGGCACTGACCCTGCGGAGGACAGAGCTGAGATTCGGGTGTATTGTGTACCCTGCCACCAGCCATCGATTTTTTTACCCCTAGCAGATCAATTTTGAATTATTTTCCGAACTTTTCGCGGCACGGTAGGCTCTTCCCGCTATGATTTGTGAAGCTGTGGGGGCCCTCAGGCATTTGCTGCTGGCAGAGGAAAAGCGCTTGTTGAATTTGTTGTAAATACTTAATGTTGGGACAAAACCACGCGTCTCTGTGTTGAGGGATGGGGATCAAGAAGCAACCCCACTGCTATGCCAGAGTCCCTATAGGCAGTGTGGGTTTTCTCTCTATGCAAGCCTCATTATTCAGAGGCAGAGTATGGCTTCGTCCATTCAAGGTCCAGAATCAGTTGTCAAATGCTAGGCAAAGCCAGTGGCTCCTGGGCTATGTGACAAACTAACCCTAGAGCAAAACTCCTCCTTGTCCTCTTACCTGGGGCCCTTTCTGCGATGCCTTTAGGGTGAGTCAAGGCTATGATCTCCACCTTCTGGGGATGGTGTTTGAGCTATGTCCTACCTCAGTGCTGAGACTCTTTTGCCTCTGTAGAGGCCCTTTGCCATGACACGAGTGACGATGAGAAATAAAATCAACTAGCCTCTGAAACGTTCTTGTTCCCAAGCACAGTTTTTTCACTGGCTTGCTTTAACTCCTAGTTTTTGGCCGAGAAGCTATTGTTTCTCTGTGCCTTTAATAAGAGGCTTTCTCTGGAGCCAAGTCAGGATGGCAAGATTGAGCTGGGCAAGGCTATCGAGGAGGAAATTCAATCTTCCCAGCTGGGTGTCTGACCCTTGGAGCCCGGGCCAACTGATCTGAAGCGGCTGTAAAAGCTTTATTTCGCAGCATCGCTGTCTTCCCTGCTCGCATTCTAGGCACGGTGTTTCTGCTGACAGCATCTTCCACCTCCTCAGCAGAAGCTGCTTCTTTCTTTAAAGGTAGTACAGGCTGGACGCAAAGAAATCAACTGTTAGCGGTGCTTTTAGCTATTTAAATGGGGAGAAAACCAGCCAATGTTTATTTCTTTGTCCAGGGCAGCCACGAATGCTTGCGTGACGTGGGCTCCTCTCCCACGTCCTTAATTGCCAAGCCGGTAGCGGCTCTGGTGACGTGTCCCGTGGGTGTCTGTGCAGTGACGGGGCTGCCTCACCCCTGTGTACCCCAGGACAGACATTTGGGGGGCTCTTTGCTGCTACCACAGGGCGCAACCTGCGGGTCCTGGGGCAGGCAGGATGAGTGCTGCTGGGCCCGGAGGGTAGGCCTGGCCTGAGAGGAGACAGTAAAGGAGGCAGGTTTGGGGCTTAAAGCAGGCTTGTCCTGCCCCAGCCTTCTCCGGAACCTGTGTGCCTGGCTCTGGAAAGCCGTGACAAGACATCAAATGACTCGCAGCTTGCCAAGAGAGCTGCGGTGCTGGAGGAATGGCCGCCTCAAGGGGCTGAGGCCAGGCACCATCACGGGCAGGACTCGAGAGACGAGGCACGATCTTGGCACAGACACAGAAGGGAAGGGGAAGCACTGCTCTGCTGGCCCTGAGCGGTGCAGCCCCAGGAGAAAAAAAAAATCTGTGTTTCCTTCCGCTGATATCCACGCTGAAGGTGCAGAAGGGTTCCGTGCTGTTGCTTGGGTCAGCCTTGTTGCCAGGTTGGGAATGTTTAGCCTCCCGGTGCTTCGGTGCTGTTGGGCTGCACTCAGAGTGTGAGCTCTGGGCGTTATTTCTCAACTACTGCGTTATTGGAGCGTACGGAGCCGAGATATTCTGCGGATAGGTGATTTAAGCCGCGTCAGAACCACCGCTGTGGCGTGTGCCAGCGTCGGACGCCCATTCGACTGCTCGGGCGGAGCAGGTGAATTGAATTTGGTGCTGGGTGGCGAGGTGGTGTTGGGGGAAGAGCTAGGCTAAGGAGAGCTTCCTCTTGCTCTGCCCCTTCCCATCTCAAATGGCCGCTTCCTGGGGAGATGGGTTCGTTGGGAGGCTAACTACAACGTTACAGTGAGGACGAGGAATCCTCTTTAGTCCCGTAGGTATTTGCTGCCAGGCCGCAGCGTTGATTTCAGAAATTGTATTTAAAAAAGGAAAAAGAAAGGAAATCCGTATTCTTTAACATACTCTCTTTTCTCGGAGAGTAGATGTAGGAGCTTCAGCAGTGCCCTTCCTCCCGAAAGGCTTCCCAGTGTCTGCTCAGACACTGAGGAGGAAAATAGAGGAGAGCCACCCGATATAAATAAAGGCAAGAAGGGGTTATGGATTAAGGGAAAACCACTACTTCAAAAATTGGTGCTCTCTACAAACCGGTTAAGGGTTTGGGACCTGCAGGTGCTGCCTCCACCTGTGTGCGTTGCAGTCGTGCCTGTTGCCACTGAGCAAAACAGGGAGAGCTGCTTTGTCGAACGCGGCGTGTTAAAGCACGTGCCACTGCCTGGAAGAAAAGCACGGACTTCCCTCGTGTGGGACTTCTTCCCTAGCCATGTGTGGTTTACCTGATGGTTTCCCATAAGCTGTGAATGTTTAAAAGAAAAAAACCAACAAAACCCAAGACCAACGTTGAGAGTGGTGAGGCAGATCCTCACCTGGGGACTCAGAATCAGCGGTGACATCACCATGCGAAGCATTGTGTGCGCTTCGGGTCGGGGCTGCTGCGAGCCTCGCAGCGGGGAGGGAGAGCGGATGCGGGGTGCCTCTGTGTCAGCCCTCTGCCCTGGTGGCTTCGTGAGCACTGAGAGTTTGACTCCTGTGTTGCCAGCTTTCGCTTCCGCACCTGCGGTGTGGCAGAGCCAGCGAGCTGCTTCCTCAGCTGGAGGAGGAAGAGGAGTGACCTCAACGTTGCCGAGGTAAAGCACAATTCTTGAAAAGATTTGGCAAAGATGTGGGTTGGAGCAGCGCGGCTGCTGCAGCTGCAGCAGATCCTGGAGCATTGGAGAAGACAGAGAGGGGTTTCTTGGTGAAAAGAATGCTGTTAAAAGTGTTTTCATGCCAGAAATGAGGATAAAGGCCTCTGTTGTTTGACATCCTCTATTGACCTGGCACATTGGCATTACAGCGTACCTGGCACGCTGTTTGTATTAAAAAAACAGGTATTTTAGTCAGGGCAGGCCAGAAACCTGCCTTGGCACTTGCACATGGCAGCAATGCTTACAGACCCTGCATCCTGGCTGCCAGGCCAGGATCTAAATCCGATGGTGCTGTTGGTAAACTGAAGCTCAGGAAGCGCTTCTGGGTTTTTCTGTACTTCCATGTGAATTTTGACCCTGTGAAGATGGTGTCTTAAGCTATTTTCGGAACAACAAATAGGTTGAAAAGCAGTTTCAGTTTAACATCTGCATGCTTGGGTGTTATTAACAGAGCTTTGTATACTGAGCTGGTGCTTGGTAGGAGAAAAAACATAAACCTTACCTGGGAAACTTGGACCCCCTCAGCTACATGCTGCTATGAGGAAACTCAGATGTAAGAACACACTTAAATAACACATCAGCAGAGCTGTTGTGCTCCTGACCACCAAAGGCACCTTTTTCCAACACCGTCGTACTGGAAGTTGATGCAGCTGGTTCCATCCGTAACGTGGGACTGTAGAGTGCTGTAACAGAAATATTTTTTCACAGCTTTGGAGAAAGTGAAGCAGAGAAAACCACACATAACCACTGATAGCTGGACCCCAAACTGCCACAGACTGACAGTGATGCCCACTGGATATCTCCTGAGACCCTGCTGCCTTCTGCCTGCTCCAGCAGAAGTCCCGTTTGAATTAGCCAGCAGGTCCCTCTGAGTGGCTTTGCTAAAACTCCCGCCGTAGGAAGTATCCTACGGGAGCCAAGTTGCTAAACTGATGGGTGGGTTTCCCTTAACCCCCTCACCCCTGACTTCCCAGCTCCTGACGACACTGCCAACGTGTGCAGTGTCACCGTGTGCCAACTAGGTGCCAGCTGCCATGGTTTGTATATTGTAAAAGGAGTGATTTGGGACTCGTGAGCACTGAGAACAGGTTAGCAATTGCTTAAGAGCTTTACTTGTGTCGCTCTGGGGCAGGGAGATGGGTGAAACATCTTAGGCTTGAAAGTGATTCCCTGCAGAGTGACGTGCTCAGATCTGCACAACAGATCTGTCGTTCTGGTCACCTTATTAGATCCCTGCTTGAGAGGGTGCTTGCAAGAATCCATTCCTCTTCACCTTGATGTGTCAAGCTAAAGAGAAATCCGTGCCGAAGCACTGTCTGATCAGACGCGTGCCTCGGTTCAGGATTGTTCTTTGACAGCTGCAGAAACACCAGGACAGTCGGCGCCTTCAGGAACAGATTAATTTGATCTTGAGGCTGTCATAAAACAGGTCCCTGAAGTTTGAAGACTCTTCCAATAGTTTGGGCCAGCAAGGAGCAGCTGTAGCTGGCGGCTGCGGTAACTCGGGGCTCAGAGTCTCAGAGAGCGTGGTGAAAGGTGACCCCCAGCTGGCTGCTGGAGGAAGCTGAGGCAGCGTTCAGCTCTAACCTTTGCCTTCTTGGCTGGCATCTTTGCACTCCTGCTGTCAGTGGGTGTTGAGTGTCCTTCCCCCCAGCCTCAGAACGTGCCCTCAGATGTAGGCAGCGTTTAGCAGCTAGAATTCACTCCAATATAAAGAGTACAAATCATGCGTTTTCTGCTTTTGCTTTGGAACTCTTAGCTTGAGGTTTTCCTGCAGGCCATGAGGTTTCTTGCAGCAGCAGGGAGGAGTTCTGTTAGCAAGAGGCTGTTCTGTGCTTCGACTGTGGGAAGATGAATGGTTCCCTGTGCACCGTTAAATAGAACTTGACACCTAGCACACCGCACTTGCAGCCTGTGGGGTGCTTTAACAAGCAGGTAAATCAGCAGAGGCTGTTTTGCAGCCGGGGTGATGCTGGCTGATTAAAAAGCAGGGGCAGAACACGGAGTTTCTGGTGTTTGTTCTTGCTTGTCATCCGACTCTCCACTTCCACTGTTCTTTAAAAAAAAAAAACAAAAACAAACAAAAAAAACAAGGGGTAAGCATCTTAATATCATTATTATAAATGGAAGGCACAAAACAAGCCAGCAACAGAGACTGTCTAAGAGAAATACTTGGTGCTTTATAAACAAACAAGGAAGTACCCTTAGGTGGGTGTGATAATCCTCCTCTAATGCGTTTTTGGAGTGCAAAAATAGATTTGTCCCTTTCTTGCTCTTCTCTCCAGGACAAAGGCAGAATAGCCAACTGCAAAGTTAGACCAGGGAGGTCCGTTTGTTCCATACTGAGAAAGACAAGCCTGTAAAACAAACTAGACAGATTTTCTTTGTGTTATTTATCTTCCTTCAGCAAAGGCAAAGCTTATGACACCTGTTGGTGTGTATTTCCAGAATTTGGGAAAAAGGCTTTGCTCTCTTTGAGAGACTGATAACTTGATTTGATCAACTGAAGAAAGCTGGAAAACTGTTCGTTCCTCATTATTTTTCGCTTGTTACTTTCTTTAGGGTTACTTTTAAAAAGAAGATTTCCCTGCTCACAAGCCAGTAGAAGACTTTCAGCCCAAGCAAGGGTGAAGACAGCTCTCTCCAAGAGCAGAGGAAGTCCCTGTGGAGAGAAGCCGAGCTTGTTAGCAGAACTCGTCGGCATGTCTAAACAAGGAGACGATTGCTACTTCTATTTCTATTCTACCTGTACCAAGGTATGGCTGGCTTTCCTTTGCTTTGCTTTGTTTCCCCATTTTTTTCAGGAAGGAGTAGATTAGGAGGAGGAAGCACACTGGTCTGTGGTTAACTTGAGAACCAGAGAGATTCTGAATTCAGTTGTAGCAACATTAGGCAGCAGCATGGCCATTTTTGAGGCTGTACTCTCTTTTCCTTGTTGGTTTCCTTTTGGTTCCAGGGAGACAAATGTGCCTACCGCCACTGCGAAGCTGCTCTGGGCAATGAGACGGTCTGCAAGCTGTGGCAGGAGGGTCGTTGTTTCAGGAATGTCTGCCGATTCAGACACATGGAAATTGACGTGAGTGCCTAAGGATGTGTTCTCAAAATAAATCAACAAAAGCCTTTTTCAGTGCCCTAGGTGGACTGATTGTGCTTTTGCAGGATAGATTCGTTTGCTTCCAAATCCTACTGGTTTCTGTTACCAAGAGAGGGGGTGGGAGGAAGCAGAGGGAAATAAAATCAATGCCTTAGGTATGTCTTAGCAAGATATATCTATTTTTTTATTATTAGATGCTGACAGTTTTCTCAACGGATGCAGAATAGCTGTTAAATAGACTGCTAAAACCTGCTGGAGCAGGGGGGTAATAAACAGGCTGTTCTATCCTCATGGGAGCAGGCTTGATAAGGAACTCTCAGGTCTCTTCTGACCCACAGTCCTTCAGCTAATGCTGTTCTAGCTGCCTGGGGTAGGAAGTGGGGAAAGTTAAAGGTGCAGAAGAACTAAGTCTCCAAGAAGTAGTTCTAGACAGGGTTAACCTAGGCAATTTCGGATGTTCTTTTTCCCTCTGAATAATCCTAGTATAATCCTAGGTGTATTAGTTTAACCCACCCTCAACTGATGTCTGCGAGTGCCTGTCTTCTCAAACTGAATGATGACAAATCTAAATGTGCATAGTGGTTGCAGCTTATGCAAACTTTGTGAATATGCCCAGAAATACTCCACTTAACTGAGAACCTGACCTTTGGAATGATGTTTCAGCACTGTGTTGTGACAGCTGTCATGATCTGGAGCTGTGCATCTCTTTGCAAGCCTCAGGTGCATGTTATCACGAGCTTTTCTTTCTTTCTGTCTTCAGAAAAAGCGCAGTGAGATTCCTTGCTACTGGGAGAACCAGCCGGGAGGCTGTCAGAAAGCCAACTGTGCTTTTCATCATGCAAAGGGACGTTACATCGATGGACAATTCTTCCCACCAAGCAAGAGTGAGTTTAGGTCCTTTTTCTTTAAGCGCTGAAGACTTAATGTTGAGTATTACTTAGTGGGTGCCAATCCTGTAGGGGGCATCAGGTAACTGTTCATTTGTGAGTGCAGGAAAAGGTCTGCAGTCATAGGTGGTCAGTTAAACCGAGTGTACTGCTGGTGTTTGTTTTCTGCTTTCGTGCTCGGCTTCTCTTTGCTTTGTGTGATGTTTGCCTTGCAGTTTGCTTCCTGTTGTTTCATCTTTTGCTGGGTGGTAGGGAGATGTGTTGTTGTTCGAAGGGAAGTCATTGTTCCCGGTGTAAACAGTGATGGGATGGGCAAAAGGAGATGCTGAATTCGTTGTCTGTGCGGGTTATCTGCCTTTCCTACCATCTCTTTGCATTGTGGTCAAAGTTTTAAACTGCCATATTACCGATGATCCTCCTCTTCCTCTAGCTACACTGCCAAATCCGCCTGAGTCCGCGGACGATGATTTGAAAGTGGCTCAGATGTCACTGCAGCAAAAGAAACTTTCTGTCCAGTCAAATCCCTCTCCACAGCTAAGGGGGTGATGAAAGTGGAAAACTCTGAAAATGTCCCAAGCCCTACACACCCTCCAGTTGTAATCAATGCTGCAGATGATGATGAAGATGATGATGGTGAGCATGTGTTGGTTCTTGGAAGGAATTTGTGCTGTAAATGATTGTGTTAAATCTTTGGTTCTTGAAGGAATCTGTGCTGTACATGAATGTCTAAATCACAGATGACCCGAGGTCTGACTAGCGATAGGGCAGGCAGTCTGGCCAGGTCACTGGTGGCTTTGTCTGGCAGTCAGTGGACAGAACCTGAAACGTTGGAGGAAAGCTTAGAACCACTCCTGCTTTAGCTGGTCTGTTGTGTAAAGTTCTGTGTGAAACTAGGAAGGAAATTTCTTATTCCTGTCTGAAGAGCAACGTGTTGTGTAGTAGTTAAAGCTGCAGAGAGAATCTAGAGTCCTAGATGTTTTGTCCTAGTGTATTCTACTTAGGAGTTCAATAGGGGGGTAACTGAAAAACAGAAGAGTAACGAGAAGAAAGAGCTGTAGAAGACAGTTCCAGTGAAGCGCAGCCTTGCTGAAAGGCTGGGGAAGAAGGTAGAGGCTCCGGGAAATGCTGACAAAGCACCCAAGAGAGATCCAGGTACTAAACGGGCATCTGGATTGGATTCCTGGGTTTTGTATTTAGTCTTTCTGTTTGTCCTTTTCCAGTGATGTTTCTTTTTGCATGTTGGCTGAGGTCGTAATCACTGGGATTCAAAGTTACCTTTCCTGTCTTGTTTTGAACTGTGAACCTGAAGTTGACATTCTGCAGCCTCCCTAATTCGTTCTGTTTCTGTTTTGCAGTTCAAGTTGCCAAGTCTCTGAAGGACAGGCTGGGATTACCTCCTAAACAGACCAGTACTGAGAGAGGTAACAGCTAGATATTAAATATGCTTTCTCCTCCTTCCTTTCCATGAACTTGGACTGCTTTCATCCATCCCTAAAAACTAATGTAAACGAAAACAAAGAACTGATGCCTCTTGCTTGAGTGCTGAAGCTCTTCTGACAGCCACTATCAGAAATCTGGCTCTAGGTGTGTGTTTCTTTTCTACTTGTGCCTTGTCAAGGTTTTTAGCTGCTTCTGTGAACCGTTACGTACCATTAGAATAGAACCACTGCCAGGAGCAGGAATTTGAAATGCAGTCTGAAAAAGTACTAAAGTAAAGCAGCATTTCTGTGTAGCAGTTTTCTCTGGGTAGGGCTGGTCTTCAAAATACAAGTGGCTCAGAGGAGGAGGAGAATGTTGTTCTAAGGATATTGTTCTAAGATGCATTATTGGGAACACTCCAGATTAGTTTTCCTTAGTGCTCTGACAAATTTTGGAGACTTAAAATATTGCTGGACTCTCTTGAAATGTTGGTGCTTCTCCTCATTTCTTGATGATGACAGGGAAGGCTGCTAAGCCGATGGGAGAGATCCATGTGAAAACACTGGAGGAAATCCGTCGTGAGAAAGCTCTTCAGAGACGCGAAACTCAAGCCAAAGGCGAGGCTGAAGGGCATGGTAAAACTGAAGATTCCAGCGCAGGGGCAAGACCTGCTCGTGCAGGTCGCATCAAAACTTTCCCTGAAGCCTTGTCTGAAACAAAGAATAATCGCTTGGTAGAAGAGAAGAAAAAAGCAGGAGAATCCCCTAGCAAGAGCAAAATTCAGGGTGAGTCCAAGAAGCAGCTCGCTCTGTCCGGGCGAATGGATTGCACATTGTAGCCTTTCTCTCTCTCTCTCATGGGACACGAGGATGCACAGATGCTCAAAGGAAACAAGTACCCAGCTTTCTTTATTTCTGCCGTTGACAAAACTTTTTTTTGTCTTTTTTTAAAGCACCTGAAAAAGAAGAAAAGAAGGCAGTGAAATTGAACCGGCCTTTTCCTACCCTTTCCTCTGTAGCTGATGTACGGGTGAGTCCTCTGTGAAGACACACATCCATTCGTACAATTTCTGATAATTCTGCCAAGTTTGGTTACTCACCGTGTGCCACCCTCTTGAGTGTGTTCTTACCCTTCAGCACCTGGTAGGAGCTGCAGTGCAGTCTAAATCCTATCGCCAGCAGCATTTCCAGACAACTCTGTAATCCCCAAACTTGGAATCAGTCTGTTTATACCACAGCAACAAAGAAACCCTGTTAGCACCAGCTGAAATCTACACGGTTAACGTGGAGGGAATTCTTTTTGTTCTTACTGCCTTGAGCTGTCAGACGTGAAGGATTTAATACGGAAGGCCAGAGTTCTGTGTTGAAGGAAATCAGTCTGTCAGTGGATACTGTATAGGGGAACTTGTATGACTTTCTGCTGCTTAAAAAGAATGTGATAAATAGATGTACAGCAGAACACCCTAGCTGTTTAAAGAAGCTTGCCACAGTGGATATTGCAGATATGCGAGACTGTGTCCATAGTAAAGCACGGCTCTTGTTACATGCAGAATTTTATGGAAAAAAAAAAAAAACACAAAAACAACAACAGTAACCTGAAGGATATTAATATGCTGTTCCACATCAAGACCATTTTGGAGGGATTGCTGATCAGATTTTCTTAACGAAATCTCCACGCACGGATTTTTTTTTTTTTTGGTCCTATTCATGCACTACTTTTCTTTCCTTCTAGCCCACGCAGCAGAGTGGAACTCGTAAATGTCCAGAGAAGAGCTTTGAAGAGAGCCGGTGGGAGAAGTGGCAACAGCGAGAACAACAAGAGAAGCTTCGGAAGGAGGAAGCTGCTGTCAAATCTACTGCTGGCTTCTTTAATACTGAACCAGCAGGGAAAGTGGCAGCTCAATTTCAGGGCCAGGAAGCTAAAAGTAAGTGTTGAAGGTTAAGAGTTCCTTAGGTTGTCTTCTGAAATACAGACAGAAGATGACGATTCTCATGCTGTAACTCTGGCTGGGTGCATTTTGCCACGCAATGCTACGAAGCAAAGTGTGTACTTTCTTTTTCTTAGTTTGTTTCTTTTCCTGCCAGCCAGATGTTAGGTAAGGAACGGGAGACTAGAAAATGACACGACAAATTTGGACGGTGTAGAACAACTTAACTGTGGGACATCACTGCAAGGGAGAGGAAGCTGGTACAACAGTTGCATACACTCTTGTCCTACTCTAACTGCTGCTTTTTCCTTTCCTAGAGGGAGCAGGACTTTAACTATAAAAGCTGTCTAGATTTGTGAACCTAGCTGGCACTTAGGATTGCTATGTGTCTGAGGTTTCCCTTGTCCTGGATTATTATTTACTGTAGCTATTGGGTTTCTTTGTTCCTTTGTATGGATTGTTGGTAGACAGAGTTTACTATGTGGAAAACATTCCTGAGAATCCAGGCAATGGCGGTGTAATTCTGCTGGCCAAATGCATTTACCTGTGTAGAAGGACTGTGGAAATGATGAAGAGAACCTGGATTTTTCCGGAGGCGGAGCAAGACTGTATCAGTTCTCTCTTCCTTTTACTCTAGCCAACTTGATGACATCTGCGAAGCCTTCGGGTGGGAAAGTCACTTTCCCCAAGAAGAAGGCACTGAAACGTAAGGCACCTGGGAGTTATCCCTCTGCCGTAGCAGCTGTGGAACTACGGACTGCCTTTGCTGCTGACATGATGGGACCTCCAGCCAAAAAAGCAGCCATGGTAAGGCCAGGGGCTAATGCAGAGATGGATCCCTTGTTAAATTTCTACCCTCCTCTAGGAGAAAAGGTGGAAAACTCAAACGTTCTGCAGGCCTTCTGTTTCCTTTTAAATCCGGGAGCTGTCTCCAGGATGCTTGTAGAACCCTTCTGTATTTAGGAGATGAATGGCACTCTTGAACCGGTACTCTGATGCTGTGATTTCTCTGGTGTGGGGGATTTTGTCCATTAATGCCATGTTCTTAAAAGACACAAGAGCATGAGTAACGTCCAGGTGAATGTGAACTTTCTTCAGGAGCACCTTGGTTTTGTATTTTGGCCACGGCTCCGCAATGCCAGAGGAGAAGCAGTGTGGAGGAAAAAGCTATTAAGGAATCTTTTACCCATGTGTCATAAATACTGTTTTGCTGCTTTCTAGGGTGTTTCAGACGTGCCGGAGCACATCCCAGCCATCAGACTTGAAGAAAATCCCCCAAACAGGTGACAACCCCAACTTGTTCTTTTTCTTAATCAGTGTATATCCCCAGGGAAACGTACGTTCTGTCACATGTGGGAAAAAATGAGGGTTCTGAGATAATTAAAGCCAAAATCCATCAAAGGAATAAGTCACCTGAAACCACTTTCTAGCAGGAAATCTAGCAGGATTGCTTAATTCGGCTTTCTTTAAATGCTGCAAGTCAGCACAGCTTTCCAGTGACTTCTTGGGTTGTCTGAATACCTGAACGAGGAGGAGGTGAAGTTCTACTTCCTCGTGAGGTGATAGATGAGGAGTAGTGTCCTCTGCCTTTTGGTCCTCAAGAATGCCACCTCAACTCCAGGTGCCCTGGCTTCACGGATAAACCCCCAGACTGAAAAATGTAGCTGGTAACACATCGGGCTCTAAATGTAGCCCTGGGTTGATTGATAACAATCCCTGTGTAAGATTGAAGCGTAGGAGGGCTTGCCTACAGTTTGAAGAGCCGGTTTGCAGAAAAGGGATTTCCCGTTAAGAAATGGCATATCCTGATTGTTCTTTCTTGCTCTCCCAAGACCTGAAGTGCGTCTTGGAAGCCCGGCAAGATTTGAGGAGCAGATGGAGATCGATCTCGAGACCTCGACCTCAGCTTCTTCCCAGCTAGAAGAGGCACGCACACGCCAGCTGAGTTCCGCGGGGAACGCGCCCTTATCTGCGGATGATGATTTTGAGAAGCTACTATGGGAAATCTCAGGAGGCAGACTGGAAGCCGAAATTGACTTAGACCCAGGGAAGGACGAGGATGACCTCCTCCTTGAACTCTCCGAGATGATTGACAGTTGAACCGCGTAGTCCTATGGTATATTTAAAAAAAAAATAAAAATTAAAACTGTTCTTCTTGTTGGATACCCCGAGGTGATCCTTTTTCTAACTGAGGCTTTGCAATGAGACTTAAAGCACAGTCCGAAGTGGTAGAAATTGGCAGGATCTGCACTCAGTTGTCCTAAATTTCCCTGCTGGTCAGAGTTAAGGTCTTGTGCATCCGTTCTGTAACTATAGGTGGCTACCTTCGATATCGAGAGGACAAAGCACTTCTTTTGGCACAGAAAGATCTCCATTGGCACGCCACGGTGGCTGCAAATCGATCTTCTGATGGAGCGATGCTCTGAAGGCTTAAAGGGAAAGCTTCTTCCTTCCTCCCCCCTTGGCACAACTCGATGTCGGGCACATTGTGAAGCTTCGGTGTTCTGATTTCTCGGACAGTTGATACCCAAATCCTGGAGTTACTATGTCAACTCTTGACTTTTACTTGTGTATGCCATTGTTTTGACTGTACCCGTGTCAGATGATGAAGCTGTAGGGGTGGGAGGGAGCAGAATCGTTATTCCAGTGTGTTGTGGACCAAACTTGCTGCCAGGAGTGGGGGTGGGGG